TGAAGTTATTTTATGCATAACAAATAGTGTTATAGTTACATGTGATGCACGATCCTCGCAGTAGATAGCGCTATTTAAGCAATAGCGAAAATCAGACCTGAAAAAAATCAGGCCTGTACGGGATTCGAACCACTGACCTCTGCGATACTAGTGCAGCGCTCTACCAATTGAGCTAACAATTGTTAGCTCAATTGGTAGAGCGCTGCACTAGTATCGCAGAGGTCAGTGGTTCGAATCCCGTACAGGCCTGATTTTTTTCAGGTCTGATTTTCGCTATTGCTTAAATAGCGCTATCTACTGCGAGGATCGTGCATCATATGTATCTAATACCGCAGTTCAAAATATATGAACTTCATATATTTTATTGTATCTGATACAAAATATGATCACAAAATGCACCACAACTGTAAATGTATGAAGGTATATTATACAATGCTGATCACGACATCAAGCAACATAATGGTTCCACTTGCTTAAAGTTTACACTTCTGGACAACTGCATTCCTTTACACAATAAACTATACAAGTAAGTGTGTAAAACCTACTGTAGGTTGGTATCTCGAGCACTGATCACACCAAGCCTGCATACTCTGTTCTCGGCTCAAACTTGACGATATCACTGACTCGAAGCTCACAGGAGATTGTTGCTTCTCTGGACATACGATAAAAGGAACATTGTTACTTCGTCTTCTAACAATTAAATCAAAATTTTAAAATCACGATTATGTTTAGGATAAAATCAAATTCAGACTTAAGATTAAAATCACAAAAAAAAAAAACAAAAGAAAATTGACAAGCAGTCAAGGTAATCAAATAGACTAAGACATAAAACAGGGGTAGTAAAACTGAAGCAGATCTAAACACTGAAAATACAAAACGTATCACGATTAATTTTCATCAAAAATATAGGGAAATAATCCAGAACCCGTCGAATGTCAATAAGATAGAGTAACACAGCTTATTGTGTAATAATTTATGAGAAATAGAGCAGAACCACGTTGAGGCTGACATCGTTGATTCTGTCGTGCAGGCTTTCTATTAGGGAGAGCCAAGGGAAACACATGCCATCAAACATCAGAGCTTCCCTCAAATGCGGTTAGTCTTCAATTTCAGTCGAAAATACACAGTGACTTTAAATGTAGCTCAGCGCCATCTTACCGTCAGACATTTGTGGGTATTCTAAGTTAAACAACAATGTGGTGGAATCTCTTTTGGACTCTTTGCCACAGCGACAGCGACTAAGTAGCTGTACATTTGATCCAAACAGTCGCTGGATTAAAGACATCTGTTGAGGTTTGCCAGTCCTACATAATAATAGCAAAACAGAAAGGAAATCAATCGTACGCTTAGGAAGATATTGATTAAAATATACAAATAATTGTCAGCAGTGGGTCAGACAAGGGTTAGAGACTGAAGTGGACGATTTCATGCTAGCCAAGTTCTAGAAATTATCCTACAGCCATTAAGTGCATTTGTTTCCATTGTTTGTGTTCAAACACTGCGAAGCACAATCCGTAAAGACACATCCGTCAACCAATGGGTTTCCAACGATTTAAACAAGCTATCAAGACATTTCATGTGTTCAGTGATTTGGTACTCACGTAGTTTGTGTATCGTCCTTTTCTCCATCTGTTACACTACGTGGTTCAAGAGTGTCCTGTTGGAAGGGGAATTAAAAACACCCAATCTTAACTTGTAAAAGATTATTTCTACATATTTCATCTCAATCTTTTATAATAGGAATTTAGATAAGCTTGTTGAATATAACATTATCACGTGACCACGTAAACGGACTTTGTTCCGCAAACGAACTTCAATGCGCTTACCTGATGCATCTGTTGAAGAACAAATCTAAACCAGCTTTGTATCAAGCGGGGAAAATTAGCATTTCCAAAGGACTCATCAACATCGTTCATGACTAAACCCAACGCTGCTGCCTCAGGAATGGTACGAAAAGCTCGGAGAAAGTTGTTGGCCTACGAGTCGACAAGAACACAGTCAGCTTCGTTAAACTCAGCTAGAATATATATTCATGACGCAGGAAAAGACAAAGAGACAACTTCTTTCACAATTCCGGGAAAGTGATACCTAAAAACTAGCAATTTTAGGCCAAAAAAAGAAATACAGAGGTTTTTTTTCAATAAAACATTGTCAGGCAGACATCACATCATAAGGGATAACAGTGTTGAAATGGTTGCAGTGCCACAACATACGAACAGGTTACGAAGTATCAATCTCCCGCACAATGCTCTATTTCCTCAAATGGTTTCAGGGCACAGAGATCTCTCATCTGAGACTTTCTACTGAGAATTTAAGTGATATTTCTCGTGCTTGAACTGGCCAAGCCTATCTCCATGACAATGCCCGTTGAACATAAAGCAAAGAAAAACGACTTGTCTCACCTGGCAGGTTTGTCCAGAGGACATGTCCAGCATGTGAAATAAGAAACCAAGTTCGCACGCCATACAGAATTCTCGATGGCACAAATGGTTTTGCATTCCAACTCTAAGGGGTTCGATAAAATAAAAGAGCTAAAGAAGAAAAAAAGTAGAAATAACGCACTTAGTGTCTGAGTGACTAACAAGGCCAAGAACCTAGGACCTTCCACAATGATCAAATGCTAGTTTATGAGTCTTATATTAATCTTAAAAGGAAAACCGCTGAGGCGTCGGTGGCTCTCGAAGACTTCTGATTAAATAAGTTTCTGACTGACAACTGACTGAATTAAGCACATGAACACCAAGGAACTGTATTAATGAAGTATTATTCAAAAACTTGCTTTACTCATCATTTGCAATTCAGGTGAGTCTCTTCCATTATTAGTTAATTCTAGGGTTATCCACTTAATATTCTTTATCTTATAGATTTCTCTTCCTCAATGATACGAGTTTGTTCTCGCAGGTCGGTCAAGACTCTATACCTGGAGCATGGCGTTGCAGTAAGCATTTGGAATGTGCGTCTCCAAACCAGCAAATGATGTCCTGTTGTAGTGCTTGAAATCGAAGTCTTCAACGCCTGAAATCAAAGATTACATTTGAACGCCTATAGAAACAAACGACGATGGATATAAACCATAAAAAAAAAAAGAACAATATAAAGGAGGCATGTAACTCACCAAGTTTTGAGTATTTGATCTCTACTCTTCTGTAGTGCTTTGGTATAACATTTCCAGGATCATCATCTGAATGCAATCAGTAGGTAGTTTGTAAGAGTGTAAATGATAACGGCAGGAAAGTCACGTTTTACTCTGAGAGTTTCTAAAGTCGTCCATTTTTATCTAAGGAGAAGTTTCCATAATAACTATTTAAAAATTAGATTATCAGCTGGAGATTTCTATCACGCAGACACATATCATGAAAATATTTTTTGAAATTTGCTACGAATATTAGCATAATAGCGCCAAACCAGGAAGATAGACACCGGAGTGATGTAGCGCCCTTGCATCACTCATGCAGTAGTCGTGCGTCAGTAACGCGGCTGGTGATTCACAGGTTGATTGAACTTTGTCATGGTTTCGCTTTGAAATTTCAAATTGATAGAAATATCTTACGATTTCAACAGAATAACGTATGCTGTAAGAAACGAACTGAAAGACTTTGGGGGCGAACTTTGTTTTTTCTTGCAGGGGATGAATTTGCAAAAGTGATAAGGGAGAACTTGCAATGGGGCGAGACCTCCAGATATCCCGATAATACCTCTGTTCATGGGCGAATCTGGCACACTGTTTTCTTCCTCTTGAGAATTCATTGATAAATCTTTCAGCGGATATGCTACCTAGAATGACAAGACGTGACAAAACTGACAAATAAGAAAAAGATTACCACCATCATACAGTAAAATACAAATTAGCGTAGAAAATACCTGGTTTCGTTTTCTGCTGCCGGGGTTAGGTGCATAACCAATGAAGTGCCTGACAACCATAGTGCGGAGAATTTCGGGTTCAATTGGTGGAGTAGGCCTGTTAAGGATTGGACACATAGACATTCTGCATTTTGGTAAAAATAATTAAAAAATCCAATCCCAACAACCCGTCTGCCAACACGTCGGTCGACACACTACTGATACACCACCATTTTGATGGTCTCATTTCAAAAAGTATGGGGTTTACAGCTTAAATAAGTAGATAGAATTTTTAAACATAAAACTCTCCGAGGTTTTCGAAAGTTGCAAAATCCCACAAGAACTTCACGCCAAATGCGATCCAGCCACGTTAGGCCTGGGACAAATTTGGTTGTCATAATATTGCAAAATAGTGCATTCTGGACGAGTCTAGCTTGAACTGAAGGCAATACAACCACAGCTAGTAAGTTTTTCTTAAAAACTCAGCCACATATTTCTTATCATTCAAGTTTATATCACCTACACACCCAAAAGCAGGGAGAAGAAGCCACCATGGGACATTCCTTCCCCCACTGATCGTAGATCATGGACACTAAAACTGATAATGCATTCTAGATAGGTGGTTTAACCAGTACCTGTCTTCGAACACCATATTTTCTGTTGGCCAGTCAGAAAGTAGTGGCCCGCTGTGGAGACAAAATGTTGTCACATAAATACTGTAACACTTGCAGACCCTGGTATCTTCTCAATAACAGTACTAACCCCTTAGTAGAGATAAGTTTTACAGAAAATAACGTAAGAAAATCAGTTGTGGATTACTGAGGCTAACATTTGCTAAATATGGTAGAACCTACCACCACGTTTTATTATCGACTAAATAACATATTCCTTCACATTTATCAGGTCTCAAGAGCCAGTTTGACAATTTAAATTGAGCTCATTTCTCAATGAGGTCATTGCAGTGACAAATTCAAGATCTCAATATTTATCTCGGATGTTCATCAAAGTGCACCAGTTCTAAAATATGACTGTATGTATTGTGATTCTACATGACTGTATGTATTGTGATTCTACATATGACTGTATGTATTGTGATTCTACATGACTGTATGTATTGTGATTCTACATATGACTGTATGTATTGTGATTCTACATATGACTGTATGTATTGTGATTCTACATATGACTGTATGTATTGTGATTCTACATATGATGTAATGTATGTATTGTGATTCTGTGGTTAAACTAGTTGAAATTTCAATTTCATTTACTTCAAAGAATATTATTGTGCCCATATGAAAATTTAAAACCAGAAAGATCTCAAACTACGACAAACACAACAACTCACTTTGGCATAGGTAGAGGAAATGTAGAGAGTGGAACAGAATAATCATCAATGGCCATAGGATGAAGATGAGGAATCTGCCACACAAACAACTCCATAGTATGAGTTAGAATATTAACTAGTAGCAACTGACAGTCTTGTTTCTTTTTTGGGTGATTGCAATCTTGGTGAATGTGTGGTTCTGTTGAAAAATTGAGACAAACTGCAAAATTTACTTTTGGTTAGAAATTAAAATGTGAAGCAAAACTCAAAATATGACAAACATATTGATTTAAGTAAAATGATATGTCCACCAAGATGTGTGATGGAATTAGTTAATGAGTGAGAGACCAATGGCAGAAACACAGCATGTTGATATTTGAAAGAGTATTGCTTTAAGTACAATGCAGATATTCAATAAACTGACATATTTGTTTTCTCATTCTATGGTAACAACAGTAGGTCTTAAAGTCCCTATTCACCCTCAGAGGTTTATATATATTTCGATTCTTTGCATTATCAGGATTAATCTCCAAAAAAATGTTTACAATTGATTAAATATTTCCTGAGATATGCCGCCTCAAAGTTACTCTTTTGGCCACGCCTTTTTTGACTTGGCCAGGAGAGAATTACTGGGCAGAGTGACATTACAGCAAGAACAAACGTTAACTTCTTGTATAAGAACGTGTGTCTATTGCTGTAAAATGATGTCAAAATGCCAACTCGTTGCGTGGTTGCTGGTTGCTCAAATACACCAGATTCGTCTAAAGGCATGTTCAAGTGAATGTAGGCATGTCGATCGAAAGACATTCTTGCTATGATGTCATGAGGGACTTTTAGTTACCACTATTAACTCAGCCCAGCCAAATCAAAAGGGCATGGCCAAAGGGCGAACTTTGAGGTGGCATATCTCGGGAAATATTTAATCAATCAAAAAAAAATTTTTTGGAGATTAATCCTGATAATGCAAAGAATCGAAATATGTACAAACCTCTGAGGGTGAATAGGGACTTTAATAGTGAACCAGAAATGAGCAGACACAGGTCTCTTGTACTAACAGGAGTAGCGAACTCTGTTTCCTGCGAGTACATGTTAAATAAAATTTCTTTTTCTTGAGTGTCCCCCCAAAGATGTGTATTTCCTGGAAATAAAGAAAAGAAGGACTATATCGTTAAAAGACATTTAATTCAGAACACACTCATGCGGACAACTTGTAATAGCACTGATTACAATTTCAGAAATACTCCACATATCACTCTAACTGATTAATGAAACTAATTCAGGGCTCCTGGAGCTCTACCTCTTTCAAAAAGGCTATTTGGTGACTTAATATCAAGAAATGGTTGCCCCAATTACTAGACATGTTGTTCAATTCAAAATGATGTATTAAACTGCTGATCACACCCCTGTCTTTAGGGCTAGCAGTATCGCTGGCATTGGTTCTTGAAGATTAATGCATCATCTCCAGGCATAATACTTGGAATGGGCAATCAGAAAAGGGCAAATTTTCATGGAAGAAAGCAATGGAGCATGAGTAATATTTGATGAAAATGTTCCTCTCACATTGACTTCACACCATAATTACATTGTATACAGTCATTATATTACAACTTGTATCATGACTGCTGCACAAAGGCTGCCAAATTGGTGACCTCCTGATTGCAAATTTAGTGAACAAAATTTGTCCCAGGGTTGCCAGTAGTGACTAGAACAGTGACAGCTTGGAGCAATGTAATACTTATTCCTTCCATGGGGTCTAAAATGCACAAGCTACCTCCTGCATCTCCAAATACCATGGACTGACATGTTGCAGAAATGTCAAAAGTGGTGCATAAAGAGCCATGAGTGTTAACATGGTACACCATCATCGATGACTGTGTTACAAGACCACCTGGTTCATGAAGCTGAAATTGGCCATTCTAAAATAAAATCCAGAAAACAAATAAAAGGTCAGTACCCATTTCATATACCTAAGCAAGGTATAACTGAAATGTTGTTAGCAACTGATACATAATCAAGCAGGAGAGTGCTGTTAAGTGACAAACATTAATGACAAGTCATAAACTAATTAAAAAGAAACTTAAAGGCTAAATGAAGAAAAAGTGATTTTATAATCAAAGCCATGTTTTGCTTGTTTGGCACCATTATTTATTTTTAAATTAATATGTGACAATTTTCTGTGGTGAACATGGCCTGTAAAAGATATCTTCTTGGAATAACTTCAGAGAGTTCACCATCATAATACTAATTTGGTGTTTATTTGAAACATTTCATAGACAGTGTTATTAAGAAACACAATATTGAGGATTTCAACACAAAAATAAGCTCTTCAATCATGATAGTACCTTTTGCTTTGCTTTTTGAATTTTGATTACATATTTCTTTTGGCAATTACTTTAAAAAAACGAAATATTCAGAGACTACGTTAGGCCATTACAAACAATCAGATACATTTATTTCACACAGTCAAGCACTTACAGTGTAGTAAACCTTTTTCCAATTGTGCATAACAGAGTGCACCAGATAACCCCTGCAGAAGTCTCCTTCTCAGAGCCTTACCACTAAGCCTCAGTTTCTAAGCTAAACGTATTGTTCCAAAACGTACCAAACTAAAGTAGATACCCTTAATTGAGCCAAAAATTGAACTGACCTGAGAAACTACTGCTACTCTTGAGGTGAATGCAGGTACAAATTTCACCATCAATGGATCAATGGCAACCTTAACAGTGAGATAAACACCATTATGATATACATTTAATCACATAATACAAACTTGCACAGTGACATCTGAATTGGTAACAACTTATAATAGGCAAGAGAAAGACAAGGTTCTGATATTGAAAAGGATTATCATAAGTGCACATTGGTATCTCAGTTGAGGGAATGGATGAAACTAAATATTTAGTGATCATTTCATGTTAACTGCAACTGATTACACTAATTGAAAACATTGCTCTAAAGTTTTACTGTTCAATGTTGTCTCAGGAAACATGCTTAATTGCAAATCATCTTCTTCTTAATGAGAGTACTTTTAGCTTTGCTAGTCATTTGAGGAGATTTCAACTTAGCAGTTACTCACATCTCTTAATTACTACCTGAAGTAACCGTAATGAAACAGTTTGAACACATCACCAGTGGTAACATTTAATCCTGTTGTGCAATTTTATAGATAAGGGTATTACTGAAAAGGAATAACTAACTTCAGCTGATATTTTCTAAGCTAAACATTTAAAACATTACAAGTGTATTCAAAGTATATCAAATATTTTACCTGAAGTGGAATAGCTCTCAGTGTTCTAAGATCATACACCATGAGAAATCTGTCTATTGCTAAATGCCCCATTCTACCAAGAAAAAAAAATGAAGAAATGATCATAAGATTTTTCCCTTACAATATGAAAACCTAGAGTACTGGTAACAATTTGAGAGTAAGTTAAGAATATGAAAAAAAAGCATGCATCACACCTAGAGCAGAACCCACAAGTGACAAGAAGATTTCCTGATACATCAAAATCTGACAGGGTTCCAGTATGTGCCTCTAACACATGCTCAGACTTCAGAGAGGATGGATCCCTAAGCCGCACCTGTTAAACAAAGACAAGAGGTGTAAATATTTAATCCTGATTTCTTATTCAAAATGTCCAGTATCAACAAAATGCCCAAGCAGTTTGTACATGATAGTGAAGCACGTGGATTTCAATTATAGCAGAAAATTGTGCCATTTAGGGTCATGTATAGAAAAATTAACTTCAACCTAATGATGACTACACTTAGTCTATTAATACCACAATCATACTTGGTAATGACATCACATCAAGAGAAGTTGGAGACAAACAATTCAGATTTCAGTAAGCATAACTTTCATCAACAAATACTATCCAAAACATACGGTGAATGTTGATGAGAAAATCTTTTTCAAATACTCTTCAACATTTGCCTCAAGAATAAAATCCCTTGTGACTGCCAGAGTAATGTTTACAAACCTTGCCAGATGTATCACCACAACAGAGGTAACGATTAGACTGTTTCATCACAACAATGCCAGGATCAACTTCAATCTAATAGAACAAAGAGAAACACGCTGAATTGTATGGTAAGGAAAAACTTAATGTAATAACACTTATGCTTTCAACCAACCAAAGTTAAGCCATCAGAAGTACACGCAAACTCATACCCACACCGTGGTAGAAGGGGAAGGAGTGGTTGGAATCCCCCTCCCCTAGCATTTGCATTACATTGAAATATTTTAAAAAGTTTTTACCTTATTAAATAGATGGCCTGTTTTGTAGTCTACAAGATGATGTTAATATAGTAGGATACATAGGCAAATGCTGCTGCTGGGGAGCTAGTTATGAGTCTAAGGAATGAAAGCATGTTTTTACAAATTACCGTTTTACTTATCCCTCCTTTTCTCAAGTCAACATCTAACATCACTCCCTGATGACCAGCAACCCACAAATGTGTCTCATCTTTCTGAAACATACACTGCATGTCTGACAGATCAGAGCCACTGCAGATTTTTTAAAAATATTCAGATTAAAATAAAATGAATCAGTCTTGAAAGAAAATAAGAATGTCAGGGCTTGACACTAATGGTAGCCCACTTAAGCCACAGACTAGAAGACATTCAGTTTTGGCAAGTATTTTTCGATTTCCACTGGCCAGTTTGGCTGGTAAACAAACTGAAATTGTCGTAACATCTAAGGTGTCACTAGCCACTTGGCTAGTAAAAGTTGAAAAGTTAGTGTCGAGCCCTGAATGTGTAACAATATATAAAGCCTATAAACTTGTTCATGTGCAGTGATTGTGTTCCTTAATAGGGACTTAACAAAGGATTTTTACTTGTTAACCAGTGTTAAACATCGCTGTTTTGAAAAAAAGCAGAAGTCCTGTTAGTCAGAAGTAACACTTGTATATTTTAGCAAACATCTAAGAGACCCTCATCAGTCTGCTCTCAAAACTTTGCCTCAACTTCAAAAAGGGAAAATAAAAGCAAGTTGTGGACTAAGAATTGTATAATTTCAATGAGCAGTTCCTATATATCTATGATCCACCAGCCAATTCAGTTGAGTTTGACTTATTTATAGTACATTTCCTTGGTAGTTTCCTATTAGCACAAAACGCCAGGGCCATTGATTCTGTCTTGCTCATCTTATGTGTCCACATTAATGCATTTATTTTCAATCATAAAGGTGCCAATCACTATTACTCACCTCAGGTTAAAGATTCCGAGGCCAGAACGAGCTGAGAAGCATAGTTTGTTACTCGAGAGAGACAGTATTCCATGGTCATGGATGGTCATGTGACGGATTTCACTATGGTGAACTTTGAATGACGTGTACTTCTGAAGTTCTGGTCCAAAATAAGAGGCCAAGTAACCCTTCAAGCAAAGTAAGATTTTAAAGTAATGACACTGAAAAGAAAGAGCTATGCTAGGTTGAACAACATTACTAAAAACAAGTCTTACAGGATATCTAGCAGGCCATAGGCAGCCCAGGCTCTGTCACAGGCTTTGTCACAGGCTCTTTCACAGTGGATTATTATAGAGTTTGTATTGTGGTTCAGTTGGACTTGCTTTTGAGCTCCCTAAATATAAAGTTGCGTGAAATAATCAAAGAAATAAAGTCTTACCTTCATACAGAGTAGTCTCTGCTGTTCTTGTCGTGATTTGAGGTTGTTTTGCTGTGTTTCAGCTTAACATCCTAGCACTACCAAATAAAGGGGAAGGTAGGAAAGCTCTGTCTCACACACGCTTGCCAACTGTGGCCAATGTTTAGCAAAATAGCAAGCCATTTAGCAAAATATTCCCTCCACGTGTGGATTGGTATTTATTTCTGACTAATCATTCATATCGTGGGGCTACCTGTTGGGCCTAATTTTGCTAGTGTCCAGGCTGACCGCGCCGCAATGGACTTTTGACTGCACAGGATTTGACCGACGCGCATTCTAATGGCGTTGAAGTGGCGGTCAATTTGAGATATTTGCTGGGTTGGTTGCTCGACAACCCAACTTTTTGTGGGATTTGTTTTGGTGAACTTGAAGGGCAACTATTTGGCTTTCGTGCTGCCAAGTTTTGATTCAAGGGAAAGTATTTAAGTGTGTTTTTCAAGCAATTTTGGCAAGCATGTGTGAGAGAGCTTTCCTACCTTCCCTTTTTTATTTGGTAGTGCTAGGACATTAAGCTGAAACACAGCAAAACAGCCTCAAATCGTGGCAAGAACAGAACAGACTACTCTGTATGAAGGTAAGACATTATTTCTTTGATTATTTCACACAACTTTGAATTTGTGGAGCTCAAAAGCAAGTCCAACTGAACCACTATACAAACTCTATAATAATCCACTGTGTAAGAGCCTGTGATAGAGCCTGGGCTGCCTGTGGCAGGGCTCAACACTAATGGTAGCCCACTAGCCACAGACCAGTAGAAATTCAGTTTTGGCTAGTGGTTTTCAATTTCCACTAGCCAGTTTGGCTAGTAAACAGACTGAAATTGTCGTAACATCTAAAAACATCTAAGATGTCCCTAGCCACTTGGCTAGTAAGTTGAAAAGTTAGTGTCGAGCCCTGTCTGGGACAATCAGGTCCATCATCACAAAGTTTGTATTTTTAAAAAGCTGATAAAATCTGGAGAAATATCTTGTTTTGACCTCGCAACGATATGTGAAATAACGTGAGGAAATTGATTTAAGAAATATTCAAAGGATGTGCCAAAATCACTCATCCAGCCTTACAAAAAAAACAAAAAAACAAAAAAACAAAAACAGGCACTAGCCCTTCTTTCAGGTATTGTAAATACAAGTGAATAAAGGCTGAAAGTTTCTTAAGAAACTGTGGTGCTGCGTCGGTGGGGGTAACAAGGTAATTGGTTATATCAACTAAGTTGAAATACTAAATTGGCCTCCGTAACGCTTTTTTATTCGTTACGGTGGCCAATTTACTATTTCAACTTAGTTGATATGAGTTACCAATTACCTAAATACAAGTGAGACCATAAATCATTAGAGTAGGTTTCCTTACTGACTGATTCCCTGTCCAAACCAGTTCTTCAACAGAATCAAAGAGCACGGATGTGATACCAGAATGGTCTCTTCCATTGTTAAAAACACTGCGAATTTCTTGATACTCCTCTCGAACTCCGCCGTGGCTGAGGTCCATCTCAATCACACCAACAAATGGCCAGCGGCTATTCTGCATGTGCAGGTAAGTTGTGGTGTAAATCATGTAAATCGATGTAAATCGATCCCGCCATTTAATCCTCCTTTACCTTAAACGACCGAAGGAGCCTGCGGTGAATGGGACACGAGGTAAACAGAACGAGCGAACGATCATGAATTATTTTACACACGTCCGTGCGCACAAGCTGGTACTCTAGCGATCTTTGTGGTATGTTAATTTTTAATTCTCAGTAGAATATGTGACTAAATTGTTAACAGTTTCAGAAACAAATGACTAAAGGCTGATAGTTTCGAAAGAAACTGTTTGGGGCTGCGTCGGTGGGAGTAACGAAATAATTTGGATATATCAACAAAGTTGAAATGGTAAATTGGCCACCGTAATGATTACAAAAGCTGACGTTTCGAGCGTTAGCCCTTCGCTCCGACGAAGGTCAGAAACGTCAGCTTTTGTAATCATTACGGTGGCCAATTTACCATTTCAACTTTGTTGATATATCCAAAATAGTTTCAGAAACAACCTCGGACAAGGACGCCACTTCTCAATCTGTGCCCCTAGTTCTACCTCTTAGGCTCATTTCAGTTTTAAAAGATTCTGTTTGGCTGATCGTCGCGACTTCACATAGTCCATTGTCATAAGAAATCCACAAATATGTCTCAATTAAGTCTACTCACACAGTAAGCTGACGCTTAAAATAGTTCAGACGAGTTGATACTCATTAAGATCCCGATCTTTAAATTATGTTATTTAAGTCACTCTACTCGGACTGGTATTTCTATAAGAAATCTTACTCTGTACATCTAGTGCAGCAGGAAGCAGATGTTTCTACCCCACAGTGGCAGTCGGGAACTTTTCCAATTCAACCCCCACCCTCCTGATATGCATGTTGTGGGTACTGTGGGTACAAGGTAATGTGGGTACAAGGGGGAAGGAACAGCTCAACATGGTTGTTACTGATTGGTTTCCTTCTTTCTTCCCTTTTTCTTTTTAAATACTGAGTAGAGTCCTCAGCATTGTAAACTTCGTGCACACTCTGGGGCAGCAACATAAAATAGTCTATTTTTCATCTCATCAAAACAAATGGAATATGATGCAACCACCCATACGGGACTTGACACCATATAAACCCTTCTACCCAGAGTCCCATACACTAATTTTAGGCCAAACCATAAACCAAAGGAAGTTTGCTTTGGCCCTCTCTGACAAATGAAACAAAATCTGTGAAGGAAAGCCATATGAAATTATCACAAACTTCTTAGTGCCCTCTTTTAAATGATTTTTGTCTTTTTTTCTAAGTCCCACTAAAACTTCTTTTATTTAGATCAGTTATAAAGATCATTACTGACTAGAAAGATGACAACAGACCTTGCTATACCTGGACAAGTCAACTTGGATGCTCCACAATGGGATCAGTCCACTTTTTGGGGACGTTTTAAACATTTTTTTGCAATCACAGACTGGAGGAAAGCTCTTTATAGCAATTCACAGCTGGATGAGGCAAAGGAACTTATGGAAGATTACAGGTGTGTGTATTGTACCAAATAAGATACATTGTACCAAATAAGAAATCCAGGAAGATGTTTCCAATTATTGTTAAATATTTTGAACAGTATATGCACAAGGTTGCTCAAGGATCTGGTAATTTTGTACATTATGAAGTACATGTACAATTTTTGTCGATGCAGTTTAGTTAAGAAATTTGTTCTGTGCTAATTACTTGGAAACAGACAACTTGATCATCAAATGTTATATACAGATAAAGGATAAATTGAGGGTCCCCTTACTTTTTACATGAAGCATGATTGGATGATTTTTTTTCTCGTGAGTCGTGATTTGATTGCTTTTTTTATTCCTGAATTGTGATTGAAGATAATAAGATCTTTTCATGTCCATGTGAACAAATTTTTTTTATTCAAAGGTGACTGGTGAATTAAGAGCTGAATTAATTATGTTTCATTAGCCATATTATTTTACATGATGAATTTTGGCTATTTTATTTTTTCGGAAATGTAAGTGTTGCTGTGGTTAGGTTTTGACAGAAGTTTTGACAGGAGATGGACTTGATATGGATCACTAAAAGTTACAAAACAGACCACTTATTATAGTTCTTAAACAAATAGGAAGCTATTACCTCATCTTTTGTAGCATAGGACTCAGTTGTCAAGACTAGAAAAAGTAAAAATATTGATTCAATGTGATTGTCTCAAATTTCACATAAACATGAAAGAGTTTTGGATATGCACAAAAAGCCAAATACTTTCACATGGCTGAGTTTAACAAAGGGGTGTAGGGGACCCTCTCAATTGTTTATGAACTCAATATTAATAGCCTTGATGCTTAGAAAATGTAATGAACAAAATAAATTATCCTAATAACTTATTACCAGTATGTTTAATTGACTCGTGTTTGATGTGTACAACTAACTTACAGACAAGGCAAGACAAACAAAGTGTCTGTTGAAGATCTCTGGCATGCAAAACATCTGGTGGACTCTGCATTTCATCCAGACACTGGGGAGCGAATGAATTTCATGGGTCGTATGTCTTTCCAGGTGCCTGGTGGCATGGCAATAACAGGGGCTATGTTACAGTGGTACAGGTCTGTAATGCTTTTAGTCAAAAGACATGTAAATTTTCATTTTGCTTTTAATTGATATCATCTAGATACTTTTGGAACTGTCATTATCAACTGTTTTAATTGTTAAATATTGGAAAAATATTCAAGTGAACTGGGAAAATCTGTACCATGTTAAGATAATACGTTTGATAAATGAAAGCATTCTTTATGTCATTCATAAACTTTTGATTAATTGTTTATTACGGAATTGTTATTGATGGTACAAGGAATGAATTTCTTTCACTTCACAGTATGACCATTTGTTTGTGCCATACACATCTTTACTGGCAGGTACAGTCATGTACAAGATGCAAACTCCAACACAACTTTAATGGCAGAACCTTTTTTGTTTAAAAAAAAGATTACTTAAGTATGTCCTGTATATAATCCTTTTACATCTGTTCAGTTTTGAAATCTGTGATTTGTGACAGGACTGTCCCAGCTGTTGTGTTTTGGCAGTGGATCAACCAGTCATTCAATGCCCTAGTAAACTACACAAATAGGAATGCTAAATCAACAGTAACTGGAAAGTAAGTAGATAATTACCAACAAATAACATCCTCTTTCTCAAGCTCACTTAACCTTTTACACTGTTCTCTGGACATTTCCTCTGGTTCTGATCAGGAGAATTTGTGCTTCTTGGGGTGTTTTTCTTTATTCTCATGACCTTAATGAATAATTTAACAGCACTGTAAGCAGAAATTTTGAAGCTGGATACTTTAAGGGTTTGAACAGTCAAGAGTTTCATCCTGAGGTTTTGTGGTTCAATGTTACTCATTTGTTCCTTTTAGTGAGGAGAGTATTGTAACGATGTTAATTTATGTATGTTGAGTTAATTTATACAGTTTACCTTACATCTGAGTTCCCGGATGTATTCGTTCGCTTCGCTTGATGTGCACTCGGCTTACAAGATTAAAGTTGTGTTTAGAGTCTCTGGTGTTTCACTGTCTGTCTTAGCGAACACGTTACAAGTATTGTCAGATAAGTTTATTTGGATTATTTTATTTCTCACCATCTGAGGAAATATTTATATTTAAGGACAATTAACAAATTTTACATACAATTTGATGGGTTTTCATCTAGCAATTTGTGTTTATAAACTTGTCTACTAGTCCTTAAAAAAGCTTTTCTGTACCTAAAGGCAGATTGGTATTGCCTATGTATCAGCAACATCAAGTGCTGTGGCTGTATCTGTAGGACTCAATTCTCTTGTGAAGGTAAAGAAAATGAAATGTGACATTTAATGTAAAATTCAGTTTCAGTCTTCTGGTGAGAAAATAGTTACCAATGATACCACTTTGATTTGGTGATGAAACCACAATGATACCAACTTACAAATGATACCACAATGATACCAACTTATTGATTTGGTTGGGCATGTTTTGGAAACAATTCAGTTACTTTCTTGAAGCCTTCTAGTTCACTAAGAAAGGAAAACTGAACTATCATAATCATTTTTTCTGAATTGGTTTCCTAATGTATAGGCCTGTTATTGAGTTGTTATGCAATGTTGATACACAAAGAGACTGAAAATAGATATTTAAATGATATTCTAGTCTTATTGGTGACTAATGGATAATGTTTATTATCCAGTCAGCCCCGCCTCTTCTTGCCCGATGGGTTCCCTTTATAGCAGTTGCTGCTGCCAATTGTGTAAACATTCCTCTGACAAGGCAAAGGTAAGAAACAACATAATCATGCAAGATGGTTTTCAAAACAATAAAAAAATTATGTTAAAAATTATATTTGGGATGATGCAAGCCCAAATGCTATCTCCAGGGTGGGTTGTTTGCCCGTGCTATAGAAGCATCTGACCCTCGACTCTTCATATAACTTGTAGTTTACAGTTGCAGTTTGTTTCATTTGATGCCATGAGACATTGTTGATATTTATTGTGATTGATGATTAGCTCTAATGAGGGATCCGTTGCTGGGCAGCTAGACTGTACCCTGCTGCATTGAATTTCAATTTTCTTTGCAGAGAAATTTTAGATGGTATTTTAGTATTTGATGAAAACAACAACCCAGTAGGAAAGTCGAAGAAGGCTGCTGTGAAAGGAATAACACAAGTTGTCATCTCCAGAGTTACAATGGCTGCACCTGGAATGAGTGAGTTTCATTTGTTTTATGTACTGGCAATCCAACAATGATTTATGATTTAAGTTGACAAAATCTCAATGTCAGCAAAGGTGTAAGCCCATACCCCTGCTTGTACATTTATTCAGAGTCTAGCAAACATTGGCCTAGTTTCTTTGAAAAGATGTATAAAGCCAGGAAACTGTCAAAAACTGAGCTGGCATTACTATTTATAGCCCTTTTGCTGTGTTGCATAAATTTCTGGTCAGAATAGATTTTTTGAGATATTTTGCCACATTTAAAGCAAAACTCGACAAGTTGTCACAAATCATTTTGCCTTTCAGTCAACCATTCTTTACTAATCAGAAACTCATTTTAATTATTATATGTATGTAGTGATATTACTCACTACTAATTATTGCTTCTGTTTTTGGTGACTTTTTTGTTTATTAAGTTATTATACCAGTGCTGATGGAAAAAATTGAAAAATACCACTTTATGCAGGTTTGTTAAATTGATTTTTAATTCCACTGCAATAACCAATATCTCTACTGAATATGAGATTGCTAAGTATATACCTGATTGTCAATGAACCCCTAACTTCATCTGGTGCTAAATATACTCTGACAATTTATCAAGTTATAAAATTTGTGGGGGGCCATAGAAAAAAGCAAGGGAAGGGAGCCTCTACCTCTTTCCCATCCTTTGTCACTGTCTCCCAGATTGTTGCCAATTTCCTTCCCCTCTCCCCTTTTTTTGTTGCTAGTTTCTGTGGACCAAGATTTCAGTGTTTGTGAATAGAGTCTTTATAAATCCCTGTGCTCTTCTTCTTTAATTTGTAATGATTTTGTTTTGCAAGCTTATGATAGTTTCCCAGGTTTCTAGATTTTTTGTAACTTGCTCATTGGCTATGCTTTTGAGGCTGCATGGTTTCTCCCTTTTTTACAATAATATGCAATAATTACTTCCTCCTGTAGAATTACCCCTTCAATTGGAATTTAGGATTTTGTGATAAACCATTACCATCAAACCACATTGCCTTATTGACATAATTTATACTTTGCTTCAATAAAAAGTGTGTACCCGAAATGATAAGACTTTTTTTCTCAATATATGAAAAGAGAGATAAATCCAACCTTCAAAAATTACCTTCAAATGTTTGAAAACTTTGACTGCAGATGCTGCCATTTTGGATCTTGTCTAGCATCCTGCATGCTTCTTGGCTGTGACTTGAAAAAAGTCCCACTCCTCCTTTTTCAAACTCTTGGTGATCTGCTGGGGCACTTTGAAGCTACACAAAAGACATTCAGATTTCAAATGATGAGTTTTTTTGCTTTAATCAGTCAAGATCATCAACTACCCGTGAACCACATATTGTGGTTTACACGTGCAGCCAGGTTACTGAGTTGTTTTCAGAATGGCGCCATACCTGGGTGCCATCCTTAGTTGAATTTCAAGCATTATAATTGAAGACAATTTGCTAATGGGTAATGCAGAAAGTAGGTATACTAATTATTATAACTATTAATAGTTATTTCCTTCTAAAGGGTACATATGAAAATTTCACAGGTGGTTTCTGAACATTTTTCTGTTGCCAGAACAAGTTCTTACTTGACTGTATGTAATTTTGAATTGAATGAGGATCTGATCTATTGAATTCCCAAGCATTTTTCAGAAATGTATTACTTTTCAAAGAGATGCTTGAAAAACTTTTATTTGAGGTGCAGATAGAAGTTCAAGTTCAATGTCAACTTTCTGATCTGAATACTTCTTGTTTCAACAGCGTATCAAGCCTATGCATGGTCCTATTCAGATGTTGCTTTGTGGTGTGAGGTGAATGATGTTTATATAGATCGTTTCTGATTGTTTCTTATCTGGAGTGATACTGTGATTTGTTTTTAAACTCAGTGGTGTACCTCAAAACTGTTTTAACCACTAAATTATCACTGATAGTTGTAACAAGCGCTATGACAACGGACAACTACATTTGATCAAGCAGAAACCAAAGAACTCATTTAATGGCAAGATCATCAACCTATATACACAGTTATAATTATTCTATCACATATGTGATAGGGGTATTTGATAATGCACGATAATGTGCACGATCATTCGTCACACCTTTCCTCTTACAAAAAAGAAACTAAAAGTGTCACACACAAAAAAAATAAAACACAGAACGTCAACACGTAATCGCTGGATGGCTGGGGGTCTCGTCACGTAATTGCTGGACGACTGGGGCTCTCGTCACATCAACATGTAATCCCGAAATCTTGTTGGGATTTCCGTTCTCTCTGTGACCTTCAAACGCCTGTTGGGGGCACTTCGGGCTGGAAGGACAGCGGATCAGCAGACGGCACTTCGGAGGTTGGAGATGATGGAACATGCACTGTCATGTGTCCAGGTGATACTGTTCCAGAACTACTGGGCAGTGGTGTTTCCTTTGGAACAACGGTCTGGCTCGGAACAGGAGTCTCATCAGTTTTAATAATGTCACGCCGGTTTCTCCGAAAAACTGCACCTCTAGTCTTGATAAGGAAACTACGAGGGCCCGCCAAATCCAGACAGGTACCTGGTGTCCAGACCTTTTGCCCAGGCAGTCTCATTCACACGATTTCACCAGGGCTAAGGTTAGGAAGTGGCTTTGCGTGTCGATCATAGCATTCCTTCTGATGACGTTTCTTGTCAGACATAACACATACATCGTCATGAAATGAATAATGGGGCCTAGTAGAGACTTGGACGTGGGCAATAACATACGACAGCGACGACCCATTAACTGCTGGGCAGGGCTGGTAGCCATTCCCTCTGTTGGGGTGTTATGCCAATCCAACAAAGCTTGGAATTCAGAGACACCCGATTGTTTGCATTTCTCAAAAAGACGTTTCAAAGTCTTCACAGCATTTTCAGCTTTGCCATTCGATTGAGGATATCTCGGCAAGGTGGTGATGTGATTGAAAGACCAGCTCTCCGCGAATGCTTTGAACTCTTTGGACGCAAACTGTGGACCATTGTCATTAACAATAATCTCCAGTATGTCAAAATGTGCAAAAATGGCCTTCAACTCGCGAACTACTGCTAGTGTTGTGATAGCACACAAACGGGAAACGTCGATGAAATTGCTGAAATAATCAAATACTACTAAAAGGGTACGTCCGTTGGACTCACAGAAATCAGCAGCCACTTTAGCCCAGGGTTGGGAAATTACTTCATGTTGAAGGAGTGGTTCCTTTGTCTGAGACGTAAGCCAGACACACGTTACATTTTGAGACATAATCTTTGACATCTGAAGCAATTCGCGGCCAGAACAGGCACTCTCGAACTCTTCTCAAATACCCTTCTGTTCCTATGTGTGTAGAGAGTGCAACAGACATCAATTCCTTGCGCATACAAGTAGGTACAACCAGACAAGGACCCTTGAAGACCAGTACATCTTGTACCACCAACTCGTCATGGAAGTCAAAGTAGGTTCACAAACACTCGGAAACATCTGACTTTCTCTCTGGCCAGCCATTTTGAATGACTCTACGAAGCTGATTCAACACTGTATCGTTAGCGGAAGCATGGGTAACCTGCCGCCAACGTGCGTCACTCACAGGCAAGTTTGCTCTATGGTCAACTTCTTCCAACTCTCAGACAAAAACAGAGGCATTAAGGGAAGGTACGTTTTTTATTGGGGGGGGTGGGCCGGGGCTTCGGAGGGGAGGGTAATTAGTAAATATTTTACAAATTGGAGAGGGTCAAACCTGTTTGATACGCAGCCGGGGGAGGGTCATAGTTTTTTTTTTGGCAAGGAAAAAACTACTCCACATCGGTTAGTGACTTTTAATTATTTGTTACCAAACACACGAAGTGTAAAGAAACCTAAAGCTTATATATACAAGCAAAGCCACCAGTCTAAATCAATCTACATCATTTTAAACAGATGTCGAAATATTATGTCAAAAAACTATCTTGTCCCAACTAATGTAAATGTCTCTCTCGACCCGTGCCTGCTTTCATCCATATTTTGACATCGGTAATGTTTCTGTGCGGGGCTCTGGTATAAAATTAGTGTCCGGTGACGACTCGTTGCTTGAGCTACTCGGGCTTGAACCGACAACTCAATCTACCACATCACTTTGCGAGTCAGTTTCCACCTCGGAAAGCGACGAGGTCACTTGTTGCTGTACATTTCTGAGTGGGGGCTTCCGAGGTTGTTAACGCCCCATTAAATTGTACAGCAAGCTACCAATGTGCGCTTTAATCATTGTGACTTTTTCAGCTTTCTTCACGTTGAAGGTGATCTCGTGATGGGAAAAGTACAAGGATAGTTCGTCAACCCTCAACGACGACAGCTTATCGGAGACCCAGTCAATGTCATTGTACTCCCGGTTCAGCCGTTCAATTCGCTCCAGTTTCAGTCTCCTCTTTCTTCTTCTCCTTGCGCACTTTTATCTGGGTAAGGTGCTCAACATACTCCGCTACAAGCTTTTCGGGGACAATGTATTTATCTGAAAACCTTTGAATAGCCTCACTGTCCCCCCTGACTAGTTCACATTCCTCAAACAATCGCTTAATCTGAGCCCGAGGCTGGAAGTCATCCGGCTCACGGCCATCGGTGGGAGTTGCACTCCAAGAGAGATAATGGAAGTTTGGTAGCTTGCCATAGTCGGGATATGGTCGTCGAGTTGGAAGTGGAGCGCTGGTAGTCTCATCCTTCTCGCAAAATTTACATAGTTTGCCACTTCTCTCTTTACACGGCATTCGCCTATATAGTCTATGAAGCTCACCTTTCTCACAAAATGCTATTTGAGAACTCAGTACATTCGCCCTTTGGGTTCGGGAAACACCCCAGATCTTCATCTTTCCACTTCTCTGGACTTGTACTTTCACTTGTTCCCGCACCTGATGTGCTACCAACAGAGTCAGAGGAGTAGCGGGCATCCTTTTTAGAATGGCGAGTCGGCAAACAGCCACAATAACCACAAGTTGCTCCATCTGACCTCATGAAATCCTAGCATTCTCCACAAGCGCATTTCCCTCTTTCTATTCCTCGCACATCCGTGCCCATTTTCAAGTTTTCGCCGTGCAATGCTACGCAATTAACTGCTTTGTGCGCAGACACGGTTATGCGAGCAACACTTCCGGTCAGTTATTTTCACTTCCGGTTGTTTTTGTCTTGGAGGATGTGGGGGGAGGGTCAGATCCTTTTTGTTTAGGCATTTATGGAGGGTCATGCATTAATCCAATCCGGAAAGTGGGAGGGCCACGACTTTTTTGGCAAAAAATTTCTAAAATACCCCGGCCCACCCCCCCCCAATAAAAAACATACCTTCCCTAACGTCAGGCAAATGGGCTTGGCTCAACGTATCAGCAATCAACATCTTCTCTCCTTTTAGGTAAGTTATATCCAAAACGTACTTCTGCAACCTCAAAAGCACTCTCTGAAGACGTTTTGGTGCTACACACAGTTCTTTCCAGAAGATAGACTCGAGAGGCTTGTGGTCTGTTTGTACACGAACAGAATCACGGCCCTAAATGTAAGCATCAAATTTCTCACAGGCAAAGACGATCGCCAAAAGTTATTTCTCAATCTGTGCATAGTTTTCTTCCGTAGGGGTTAAGGCTCATGAGGCATATGCCACAGGCTGCTCACTTTGAAGTAACACTGCACCAAGACCACGTTGAGACGCATCACGTTGGATCGTAACCTTCTCTTGTAGGTTGTAATAACGGAGTATCGGTGACACAGACACAGCATCTTTGAGTTGCTCAAATGCTCTCTCTTGGGGCTTGTCCCAATGCCACTCCACGTCTTGGCGGGTGAGGTCTCTGAGAGGCTTGGTAATATCTGACAATCAGGGCAGAAATTTGCTAAGGTACTGAACCATTCCCAGGATATGCTGTACACCTGCAACATTCTCCAGTCGGGGCATTTCACGTATGGCTCGAACTTTCGCTGGATCTGCTCAAAGACCTTCGCTGGTTGCCACATGACCGATAAACGGAACTTCTCTCATCCTGAGCTTCAACTTGTTGCTGTTTAAAAGAATTCCTCGCTCTTCACATCTCTGAAGGAATGCCAAAAGACTCTTGTCGTGATCCTTAGATGCTGCTTGCAATGAATCACCATAACCAACAACAACAAAGTCATCTGCTATGACTTCAACTCCGTTCAGTCCTTCAATCAATTCATGCATCTTGCGTTGAAAAATTTCAGGCACAGATTTAATTCCAAAGGGCATCCTTTTCCAACAATACCAGCCAAACGGCGTATTAAAGGTAGTTAGGAACGATGACTGCTCATCAAGAGCAACATGCCAGAATCCACAGGCAACATCAAGGACAGTAAACACTTTGGCTCCGTGTAGCCTAGAAGCAACCTCTTCGATGGTAGGCAAGGGATAATTCTCTCGTTGCAGAGCCCGATTGAGATCCTAAGGGTCCAAGCAAATGCGTAAGGCACCATTTGGTTTCGGCATGACAACCATTGAACTAATCTGAGTTGTGGGCGTTGTCACACGAGCTACAATTTCTTGCTTCTCCAAATCTCCTAAAGTCTCTCGTAGACGTTCTCGGATGGCAACCAGTACTCAGTGAGGAGGGTGTTGAACCGGCTTCACTGTTTCATCTAGCTCCATGTGATATTCTCCAGGAAGGTTACCAACTCCATCACTGAAAACGCAAGGGAATTTATTGACGAACTGGTCAGCGGACAAAACAGGCTCGGTTGGCGCATCATGGGGATGTACTTCACCTTCAGAGGTCTGGGGCTGATTCAACTGATCATTGTCTAAGTACTTGATGATTTTCATTCCAAGACAAGCTTTCCTTCCAAGTATAGGCCTCACCCCTTTGCTCAGTGGTGGATCCAGGGGGAGGGTCTGGGGGATCCGGATCCCCCCTATCAAACCTGATGCTTACAACTTTGAGACAGGATCGTATATCACTTTTAACTGGCTGATATTTTTAATGAATCCAAATAAACGGTAAGCAGCCAAGGAATTATAACATGCAACCGCAACTGGTGGGAGGGGGTGTGGGGGAGAAGTAATTTGCCTCAAAGAGTCCAACAGTCCTTTCTGACCCAAAGTTTGGACCCCCCCAATCAAAAATTCCTGGATCTGCCTCTGTTTGCTGTCCACCAGATTACAGTCAAGAAAACATCTGAAATCTCCATGCCAAACTCTCAAACGAACTCTACCAAGGATAGGTATCAATGTCCCACCATACAAAATAATCGCCGTGCTTACTGGGGTCACGTTAAGCAAATTAAAGTCTCTTGTCGCTTTCTTATACAAATGCAAAGGGACTACGTTACATTGTGCTCCAGTGTCCGGCTGAAAGTGAAGATAATTTCCTGACTCCAATTTTAATGTTACAAGCTGCGAATCATCAAGAGTCACCGCTGAAATCTCTTCCACGCCAAAAACTTCGTCTAAAGATCCATTCTCTGAAAATCCATCTTCCAAATAATGGACACGATTGCTTCACTGCGAGGGTTTGGGCACCGATCCAAAACACACGTTCGCGAAATGGTTTTGCTTGTTACACTTGTTACACTTTTTTCCAAATGCTGGACAGTTTTCATACTTTGACACATCATGCATACGCCCGCAATAAACACATTCTTTCACTTGGGAGTCAGCACCTCTAGGGAATCGACCACGCCTCTTTTTCCCTCCTTTCGACTTTTTAGAAAAGGCATTTACATCACCCAGATCTGTATCCCAGTGCTGGCACCTCCCACAACTTTCATTTGTTCAATCATTGTCTCGTGCGCCTGACAAATTTCATCAGTTTTCTCAAGTGACAAATTCTTTTCGCAAAGCAACCTTTCATGTACCCTTGAATCCTGAATTCCAAAAACGAGCTTGTCCCATAAAATTTGATCTGCCGTAATGGTTTCAAATTCGCATCGATCAGGTAATTGTCGTAGGACTGTCCGATAATGGTCGTACGATTCTCCCACTTCTTGCATTCTAGAGTAGAACCTGTATCTTTCAAAAGGGACATTCTTCGACGGCTGGCAATAAGCAGCAAAATTCTCTAACACTGGCTGTATTCTGTCACTGTTACCTTTGTCAAACGTAAACGTCGAGGAAACTTTCCTAGCTTCAGCTCCAATCACCGTCAGTAACGTCGCTATTTTTACGGTCTCGGGTTCTTGGTGCAATTTCATAGCCACTGATCATTCGTCATAGATAGTGTTCCAGATTTTTAGAGTTTCTTTGTGCCTTGCTCATTGGCCATGTTTTTTGGGGCTGCATGGTTTCTCTCTTTTTGCAATTATTATAATTTTCAGTAATTGCTGCAGGATTAATTGTATGGGTCACAAAGAATTCTCATATAAGTACCTTGGGCTTATCACTGTTACTGTAGTTATTAGTAGTGATTTTAGAAAGTTAATAGAAATATTATTTTGGCAGCTGTAGAAGAGGAATACAGGAGAGTCCACAGTTTGTTTCAAGTCTTTTTGGGTTACATTGTACCTAGTCCTCAGCTCTTAACCCAATTTCTTCACACCAAAAGCCCTCTCTGTCAATAAGGAAAGAAAAACAGACTGCCAGCAGTCTTAAAAATCCCTCAAGACCTAAGTGAGAAAAGCCAATGACCTTGAAATAGCAAAATTGGAATGAGATATCAATGGAACACACATTGGCTCTTTTAACAAGAAGCCAGTAATAATCCAAGGCATGTTCATTTCTATTCCCAGCATTCTCATCTTTCACAATACCAGAATCTTACAGAAACTTGAATTATTGAAAAAAAAAAGGTCAGAGATTTTAATTACATAGCAATATTTTTGCTAAGATATGGCAAAAGAATATTAAAAAAAGAAACTTCCATAAGTCTTGAAAAATGGGAAGAATCTGATAAGCTTGTTTTCTTAGCTGTTTAATTTGTATTTTGTGGTAAAAAACTGCAAAGAGGTGCATGTACCTGTCTTTACAGTACTACCCTGGAGTATGCAATTTGCAAACCCCTTTTTTAATTCGTTTTAATGGATTTATTTGAATTCCTGCATTGTTTCGACCTTTTTCAGCTTGTGCTTCATGGTACCGGCTGCTTGTTCACTATTCCCACAGAGGTGGTAAGTATACAGACAAGAAATTATAGCCATGTGTGTCAAGAAAGTCCTTTTTGCTGCTTTTGTAGGAAAAATTTAAAGTTGTTAACAGTGTATGTGGAAAGCAAGCCTTTGTGAAGAAATTTTGTCTAATAGTATGTGATTGAGGTTTTCCTCATTTTACTTGCAGTATACTTGTGTACTGGTATTTAATTTGCTTTATTCCTGTAAATGATCTTCAACTTTCAAAATTTCTCTATTACTTTTATTAGCTCCATGCCAGTAGAAAAGCTTGAGGCAGAGTTGCAGGAGGTGATAAGAAAGCGTGAAGGACCAGCTTTAAAAACAGTTTTCTTCAACAAGGGACTTTAATGTTTCAATGTTTTCCTTGAGCTGCTTAAAATCAGAAATTTTATTTACCGGGGTAAATGCAATTATTAATAAATAAACACTAGTCTGACTAACATATCAATTTTAGCATTATTCAAATTTCCATAAGGTCATAGTACGTAGTAGCAAGTATATTCATTGTATTTAGGATAAATATTGTAAGAAATATACAACTTTTTTTAGAGACATGTTTTGGCATGCTTATGCCATCTTCAATCAATGAGTAACTGAACATGAGTGATTATATAACAGAAGAGTAGATGAATAAAATATTTACAGTATGATGTAATACAAAAGCAGGTACTAATTACAGCGTGACAACAAACATGAAATTAAAGGTGTGAACTAAAATGATAGAAAAGTGTTATAATGCTGTAATTGTTTGTTAAGTTCAGGTTTGATCTTATTTATATAAAATGCTTCTTTGAGTTTTAAATCAATTGAGTTGTTGGCAGAATTCAGAATACTAAAGCAAGAAAGGGAGTATTTGTTCTTAAAAGAAGGAGATGTGTTAAAATGCTTAAAAATATGCGATAAAAACTCGCCTATTTTTTTCAGCATTTTAACACATCTCCTTCTTGTATGAACAAATACTCCTTCTTGCTTTAGTATTCTGGATTCTGCCAACAACTCAATTGATTTAAAACTCAAAGAAGCATTTTATATAAATAAGATCAAACCTGAACTTAACAAACAATTACAGTATTATAACACTTTTCTAGCATTTTAGTTCACACCTTTAATTTCATGTTTGTTGTCACGCTGTAATTAGTACCCGCTTTTGTATTACATCATACTGTAAATATGTTATTCATCTACTCTTCTGTTATATAATCACTCATGTTCAGTTACTCATTGATTGAAGATGGCATAAGCATGCCAAAACATGTCTCTAAAAAAAGTTGTATATTTCTTACAATATTATTCAAATTGCTCATCATTTTTGGCAAAATGACTGGCACCAGCAATTTCTTAAATTAGCAGATTGCATAATGGTAGTGGATGCACTCTTTTGGTTAAAACTGTAACAAAATTGTGGGGTGTGGTGGTAAAGTGATGTTTGAAATGAGTGGTGGGTCATTGTTATATTTTTATAGGTAATAGTTATGTGCATTATTAACCAAGCAAGAGGTCAAAAAAAGAATGAGGCTAATTGTCACGATTCTGTGAACTCAAAAGGGTTGTTTATTGTGCGAACTCGACTGCCGCCACGTGTGTTGTCGTTGTCTCCTAAGTGTTCCAAATATGGAAAATGTTCATCGGCCCAGTGGCGTGACCGTGTAACGCAATATCACGACACTAATATCCAGCCATCTTGACCGAACAAGCTTGGTTAATGAAGGATTTATTGTAATGCAAAAATATTTTTCTTTATAATTTAAGAATTAAGAATGACTTGTTTACTTCAAGAGCTAAGAAAGAAAGCCAACTGTGTTTGTAGCGCAACAAACTCACGAAAGTTGTTTCTGTTTTCTTTGTTTCAACTATCTTCTGCTGCTTTTTGCATTTCCATCATCGAAATTGTCCAAGAATTATGAACGTAGTTCTGATTCTATTTTTTTCATGTGCAGGATCAATGCAGCCAATCCAAAGTGGGCAAGATGGGCCCATCTTGCCTGCTCGGGTAGCCAATCAGAATACAGGATTTTCTTTACCTTGCCCACAGGCACTGTGAGCAATGTAATGATTAAAATTATTCATACCCATTTCAACCCTTTACACGGTAACTTGAGTATGCATATTCTCCATGTTCTTCTTACATTGGCTTCGGTGTAAAAAAGTTAGTCTTCTCTAGTTGGTGATCATTTCCTTTTTTTCTTGTTACTGTAATGTGCCATTCAAGGGTGACATTGTAAGGAGAAATTAGATGCTAGTCACTCTTAGGGATCAAAGGGTTTGATTGTTGGCAGAGACCTATGATTTTAACAACTTCATTTATGTTTATCATTACAGTATTCACTAATCTATGTACCTAGAATTACATCGTTTCATTATTTCTACTTTCTATCAAACCATGCCATCTTGAAACTTTTTTCTTCAAATAATTTGGTATGCTTCATGTATTATAATTATAATGTTTGACAAACATAATGGCTATAAAGGCCATTTGATTGTGTAGGAAAGAAACTGTGAGAAATGGTTTTGTCACTGTCTTGTATTTGCCTGACTGTTGAGAGATGTGGTTTTGGAGGGCACATTTACCTAAATCAAAGACATCACCGACATTTTTTAAGCCACATCCAGAGTGAACAAATGGAGGTTGTTACTGGATAGTACTCTTATAAAACCTCTCTTCACCTTGACATAGGACACTCTACCTTGAGGAAGGTGCTAGGAAGACTGGCATTTTATCAAGGAAGAGGAGGAATACTCAGTTCTCCCATGCATTCAGTGGCTGCATGTTTGTCATATATAAACATGCAGCCACTGCATGTTTATATATGACACTGCATGTTTTTATAAACATCATATTTTTCTTTTGGGCAAGAAAAATATGATGTTTATAAAATCAGACATGATCTACTTAACAGTCAAGTCTAAAAAGAGAATTTAAAGGACCCCAACCTAGCCCCTGCTCAATAAACCAGGTAAAAGCTGGAATTTGATTTTCAGAAGCTTGTCACTTATAAAGGCTAAATAGTTCCCTTGCTCATAAAGAACCAAATAACTTGCTTGTAGTAGTTTATCTCTATTGAGTCAAAAAAAAAAAAAACTTACTAGAAACATTACAGCATGTTAGTGAAACACTCTGTATTTATTGTGTACTAAGAGTTGCATAATATACCTGGTGCTATTTTACATGATTCTTTGAGGACAAGAAATAGATTATCACTGACAGTACGTTAATCTTAAACAGCACCTAGACAAACGTGTTCCTTCACAAGAGGTTCTGAATTCTGATGTAGGTGCAGTTTGACTGATGTGTATTAACTCTCCTTATCAATATGTTACACTAACTTGTATAATAATTAAATTATAAGATGAAAGAACACAAGCTGTTATCTTACAAGAATGTATACTCCAACAGACAGAATTCAAGATCTCTATACAAAGAACAACCAAGTCTGAGTAAAAGGAACTGTGTTACCTTGTAACTTAACTGTCTTACAGATTCTGCATACTGTGTTCTATATTGAAATAACATATCACTTTCCCTCCAAAACCTATGGAGCCAGATTCAAATTGATATAACAAATCCTTTTAACTGTAAAGGACTTTCCAGAGATTCTTTGATTGTTGTTACCAACGTGTCCAGTACATCTGATTAAATACTGCAGTTAAAATTAAAATACCTTGAAAGGGTAATCCCCATTAACTAATTAACAATTATTCCACGAGCGTGTGTCGGATATGAGATGATAGATAGCCAACGAGGCGGGTAGCGCGAGTTCGCTATAATTATCTCATATCCAACAAGCGCGAGAGAAATAATTGTTTTATTAAAAACGCCCCCAAGAAATTATTTTGTGAGAAGAAACCGCATTTTTTAGCTCCCTTTTGATTTTAAGCTGACGCGTATGCTTACCATATTTGTAGATTATGGTATATTGGCTCATATACCATAATGGCTAAGCCAATAAAAAGTCTTGAATTGCATTATCCAATGGTCAAGT